TTTGTCCACAATGGTGGAACTCTTCCATCTTTTCTTTTGGTGAGGGGTTCCCTCTTCAAGCTCTTTCAGCTGGGGCAGAAATTCCATGGCTCTCTACTGCCTCAGTTTCCTTCAGCTGATGAGGTGAAGGTGCTGATACCTGGGGGAGAGGACTGGGGATGTGAAGGCCAGGTTGGTCCTGGCAATGAAGACCAATAGCACAACCTGCAGAGCTGTTGATGTTTTTGGGAAGATGCACAGGTGCCTGTGGCCCTCTGCCTGCATCCTCCCTCTGGCTGCTGCTCAGAGTCTACTCTTTGCCTGTGGGGAAAGGTGAGCAGGAGGCAAAGAGGACTTTTTCCTGTGCTATATCCCAGCCCTGTGGAAGTATCTCATCTGGAGTGAGGAGAGTGGGTCTGTGCATTGGCAGAGAGGGGAATCCCAGCCTGTGGGCTGTGCTCTCCCTCTCCAGATGTTTCTCTCCTGGTAAGGGCCTGGGGGTGTCCCTAGCGAAGAGGGTGATGCTTTGCTGGGTATCTCTGGCAGCTTTGCCCAGCAGTTCTGTGGTTGGTGAGGTTGGCTGCTCCCTGATAGCTTCCTTGCTGGGGAAACTGAGGCAGAGGCCACACTTCCTCTCCACAGGGGCCCCTTCGTGACAGGCTGGAGGCAGAGAGAACTTGATTAAAAAAAATAGTGAGATATTTCCCCCTATGCAGACTGTGTAAGACACAGTTCTGGTATCTGTTCCCTTCCCTGAGTATCCAAAATGAGGTGGATATTGGGAAGTGTTACTCTGCAGGTCCCCAGCCCTGCTGGGAGGGAGTGTGACAGGAAGGAGACCAGAGCTGTCCATCTTGCAACAGATTTCTGCTCTAACTGTGCTGCTGGTGATGCCAGGGATTCCAGTGCACTCCCCAGCAGTCCTCTCACCATCTTCTTTCCCCCTGTATCATCCTGCAGAGATGTGAGATGTGGTTCGGAGTTTGGAGTGGAGGAACCCCAGCAGCTGAGCCCTGTGCCTCCCTGATGTACCCTCTGCTTCTGCACCCACTGCCAGCATGGGGACAGCTCCCCGGGCCATGCTGCACTGCACCGGGATGGGGACAGGCAGTGGGGCTGGATCTGGCCATGGGATGATGGTGGCAGGACCCGCCAGCACCGAGAGAGGAGAGCCCTCGGTGGGAATCAGGCTCTGCCCTGCACAGGGCCTGGCATCTCCTGGGACTGAGGGGTCTGGAGGGATCTGTGCTGCTGTCAAAGCCAGAGAAGATGCCCTGGGTGATTTAGGGGAAGATCAGCTTGCAGGACACCAGTGTGCTCAGGAAAGCTGGTGTTGGCCCTTTGCTTTGCACAAGGAGCCCCAAGTTGGGCCCCTACCTACCCCCCAAGTGCCTGTGCCCTGGCTGCTGCTGCTGTAAGTATTGTAAAAAGCATGTTTTGTGCTGTACAGAGGGCATGTGATTTTATGAATGAGATTTTAAGCCTCTGCTTGTCTGTGTCCAGTGTTTTGCCATTGCCAGTGAGGGGAGCAAGGGTGCCTGTGCCATGCCCTGGCCCTGAGTCTGCCAGCCAGTGGGACTGGCATTGGGGAGATGGGGGAGAGACCTCAAAGAAGCAACTTCAGCAGCCTGTGCCTGCCTGAATGGGGTTATCATATTGGGAATCCCTGGTCCTCCCTTCCTCTTGTCTCATGGGGTGGAAGAGGAGGGCAGTGTCCATTCCTTTCCCCCTCCATCTGCTCAGGGAGATGTGCCACTGCCCACTGCTCTTGCTGGGGTGGGTGACACTGTTCTGAGGGTCCTGAATCTGAACAGACGTGCCCTGGTGATGCTTCCTTTGGATGCTTCCTCTGACAGCAGCCCTGGGAACAAGTACCCCAGGATGTGGGTTTGCAGCCCTCTGCCAGGCTGAGCTGGGAGTGAGGTTTGGCTGTTGAGTGGAATGGTGGATCTCTCTGAGGTTTTCCCTCCTGGATTTACCCCTGGGGTTTTCCCTCTGCAGGAGCTGCCTCGTGAGTGCTGGGATGACAGGGGGAACGTGGGGCTCGGCTCATCCCTGGGCTGGCAGTGCTGCCCTCCCTCCCCGTGATCTCTGCATGGAGCAGGGACACGTGTGGCTCTGCTGCAACTGTCTGAGCAGGAAACGGGTAGTTTCAGCTTCTTGCCTCAATCCTGGTCCGTGGGTGCTGAGCAGGAGGATGTTGGTCATCTCTGCCAGTTTGGGGGTAGTGCTGACGCGGGAGTCTGCTTGGGCACACGCGAATCCAAGCCCTGGGAGCGAGGGCAGGAGGGTGATGGAGGCTTCTGCGCAGCCCCAGAGCCCCAGGCAGGGCAGGCATGGGGACATTTTCTGCTAGCACTGTCCCCACGTTGTGTGATGTGGCCACTGATCTCCCTCCCAAATGAATCCTCAAGGTCAGTCAGAAGATGGGGGTGAGTGTGTGGCAAAGTAGTGATATTTGGAGATCTGTCTGATGCTCAGATCTGTCTGTGACACTTGCAGAGCTGCCCATGACACTCAGAGATCTGCCCGTGATGCTCTGTGGGGACACACAGCCTCCACCATCGGGGCCAGGGTGGCAGGGGCTCAAGGGACTGTCCCTGCCATGCTGATGGCAGCAACCCACGTGTCACTGGGGATGTGTTTTCCCCCTCTGAGTTACTGCATGCAGCATTTCCCCCTTGCTGTCTCGCTCTGACTTGGGTGTTTATTCCACTCAGGTTCCCAATTCTGCTCCTGAGCATCACCAGCACATCCTCAGCCTGTGTGGGAAGTGGTTTCTTAACCCACCACCCCCAGTGTGGTCCCTGATGGATCATGACGATGCTTGGCAGTTGCTGTCCCCAGCTGCCACTCCCTCCCCCCACACCCCCACAGCTGTGGCAAACGTTGCCAAGCAGCTACAGATATAAATATTTTCCAGCCCCAAATCTGCTGTGGCTGATACACCCCTGCAGCCACACCACAGCTCTGGCAAAGCTCCAGGGGGTTGTTTGTTGTGGGGGTTGCCAAGAGTGGGTTTGGGTGTCAATCTGGGCTCCTCCAGCCCCTCGGAATCAGGATGGGTGTGTGGGTGCTGCCTGCACCCCACGGCTCAGACATCCCGTCTGCGCAAGAGCTTCTCCAGGGCTCATGGGACCTCCTGCCCCCAGTGACACAGCTGTCAGCATCTGCTTGGGTTGGAGCTGGAGGGGCAGTGGGGTGGCACAGGGCACCCCACAGTGCCAGTACTATGTGTGGGCATACCTCTGGTGGGGTAACAGGGGACCTAATGCTAGTGCTGTCCTGCCCACCCTGCCCAGACACCAGAAATGTCAAGGATCAACCTAAACCTCCGTGATGGACTGCCCAGAGTAGTGGTGGAGTACCCATCTCTGGAAATGTTCAAAGATTATGTGGATGTGGCACCTGGGGACATGATTTAGTGGTGGGCTTGGCAGTGCTGAGGGAACAGTTAAACTTAATGATCTTTGAAAAGCTTTTCCCACCTAACTGATCCCATGGTTCTATGGCTTGTGCACATTGCTGAAGCAGACCCCCTTGGGCACAGGGGCTCTTCTGCTGGGACAGGGGTGTGGGATTTTTTTTCCTGGGGACTCTGGAAAGGGGTTGGAGACACACCTGGGTGGCAGGGTGGCACAGAGATGGGGACTGTGGCATCCAACAGTCTGTGGAGTGACAATGACCCAGGGGCTGTTGTGCAGCCTGGGAGGACCCCCTGCCCTCCACCATGCTCACAGGGGGACTGAGGCTGAGTGGGGTGGTGGGTCAGAGCATACATGGGTCGGAGGGGCTGGTAGTCCTGATGTGCACGTGCCATGGAGGTGCTGCAAAAACAATCAGCACAAACATGCACGTCCTGTGACACGTCAGTTCCTCCCTGGGGCCCCACTTCCCATGGCAGCTTGGGTTAGGGGGGCTGGAGCAGGGCCAAGGAGCACTGAAAGCAGCTGGGATGGGGTGTGGGTTTCTGTAAAGAGTCTTGAGAGTGGTATGGACCTGCCTGTTGGGAACTTACCCTCCAGAGGCATTGGGAGCTGAGAGTGCTGGAGCTGCCCAGGGGCATTGGGAGCTGAGAGTGCTGGAGCTGCCCAGGGTTTGCTGAAGCCACCACCATCAAGCCAGGAGCTGCTTGTCCAGTCTATTGGGTTACAGGCAGTCCCTCATCCCACAAAGAGAAGCCCAGCCCTGGCAGGCTGGAGCAGGGATGTAGTGCTGCACAGGGCCACCAGTGATGCTGTCGCTGCTCCCCTGCACTCCGTGCCTGTGGTCTGCCAATGGCTTGTATATCTTGTATATTTTCTTAGAAGCAAGAGCAGCGTGCGTGGGGCATGGAGTGACGGGAAGTGGCTAACCAGAGTCGAGGCAGCTGCACAAGCCTTTTGCCTGCAGCTGCTCCCGCAAACGCAGCTTTGTCAGAGCCCACGTGGTTATTTACCACCAGGGCAAGTGCTGGGTCCCACACGCGCTCTCTCACGGTCCTCAGAAAGCCCCATTCTCCAGGCTGGGAGATGCTACTCCAGCTTGGAGCAGATCTTCTGGCATACTGGGGACCATCCAGTATGTGCTGAGATGTGAAGGTGACAGCTTTAGTAGAGATGGCACTTGTGTAGAACCAACTTGTGTTGACTTTTGCAATGAATTGGCTATGCAGTTTTTAAGCAATGACACGATGTACGTATCCTCTACGCTGACTGAATGAATAAGTATTAGGCTTCCTGGAAAAGCTGTGGGGAACCATCGAGGACTGGACTGTGCAGGCTCTGGAACCAGGGGTGAAAAAGCAACCACCTGGTGACCCTTGGAGACCGCCACAAAGCAGTGCACATGCAGACACCTGGGCACAGCAGGACGGGACAGTTTAAGAGACTATAAATGAGTTTGTGAGAAGCTAT